AAAAAAAAAATCACCAGGACAATATTTTGGGCCATTTGAGTTTAAAATGTAAAATAAAAATTTCAACCATCAGTTTTTCTATGCACACTATGACCATATAATAAAACAAGGATTGGGCCAAAATGAGTTATTTTGGTTAACCATAATTAATTTTATGAAATAATTTGTTCAAAATGGGTTATTTTGGTTAACCATAGTTAATTTGAAAAATGTGGTATAGTTAATTGTTAGTGGAATTTTAAAAATGTATTAAAATAATATTTAAAATAAAATATTAAAATTGATTTGATGTAAAAGTAAGATATAAATGATTGAAAATGATTGAAAATGATAGGTAGTTAAAATTATGTGAGTTGGTGAATAGTGAATTAAAGTTGATGTGATGTGTAAGAATGATTAATTTGTATTATTTAATTATATGAATAATATTAAAGATAGTGAAATTGAGTTAAAGTTGAGTTAAATTTTGAGTTGAAATAAAAGTGAGTAAAGTAACTCATAAACACGCAAGCCCTTAGTTTGGGCCATTCATACATGTTAGGCTATTTGATTAAAAAAAAAAATCTTAACGTTTGTTGTTCAAACTTTTAAGTCTAATGGGCTAATTGAGCCGTTTTAAATTCCAGGTCGTCTTTACGAGTCAAAGGAGTTTGAAAATAATAATTTGTAGTGATTGAGATTTCTGACGATAGCAAAACTATGGACGTTGTATATGAAAAAATATTTAATAATATTTAGATTTTTCTTTCTTAAAACATTTTTTTAATAATTATATTATGATTTTTAATATTGTTTGTATTTTTTATTATTTTATGCTTTATCATAATGCTTTATGTGCAAATGCACAGGTTACAACTAGTTATCTATTAATATTTGATTTAAGAAAAAACTCATTCTAGAACTACATTTATTTATGAAGAATTATTATTATTATTATTATTATTATTATTATTATTATTATTATTATTATACCCTATTATTACATGAACTCTTAGGCTATATTTGGTAAAATTAGTTGATAAGCTAGCTGATAGCTGATAAGCTAACTTATAGCTTATGGCCTTGTTTGGCGATCAGCGGATAGAAGATAGCGGATAGCGGATAGCGGATTATATTAGCTCATTTGACCAGCGAATTGCATTAGCGGTTTTTAAATAAGTGTTTGGTAAATAACTGAAAGTTTATAGCTGTTTGACATTGCAAATTACCAATAAGGACATTTTATTATTTAGGGTGTATTCTATTAATAATAATATATTAAAACATTTAATATTCTTTAATTGGTAATTTATAAATATTTTTTTTTTAAATTTACTAACACTTGATTAAGGAGTTATAAATTTTACATTTTTCTAGATAAATTAATCATATGGATGACATATTATTATTTATTAGCACCATAAACCAATGTAAATTGAAAAATAAGTAATACAAATTAAAAAGTTCCAAATTAAAATAGTAGATTGTGAATCCTCTATCCCAAAAAGCTCATCTAATGAGCTTTTTCTAAATTAGAGTTTTTGGCCTAAAAAGCTTATCAAATAAGCTATTTACCAAACAAGCTCAATAGCGGATTTGACGGGTCAAACCTCTCAATTAAGTCCAATCCGCTAATTTATCTTCAATCCGCTATCTTCCAAACGGGGCCTATATGTAATTTTTGAGCTTATGGCTATGTTTGGTAAAATTAGCTGATAAGCTAGCTGATAGCTGATAAGCTAGCTTATAGCTTATAAGTAATTTTTTAGCTTATAGCTTATAGCTTATGACTTATAGCTGAAAAGCTAGCTTATATGATAAAAGGTGTTTGGTAAATTAGCTGATAAGCTAGCTGAAATAAAAAAATTCAACTAGCTTATTTGAAAAGCTACCTAAAGTAGCTTATGAAATAAGCTCGAGTTTTTTTTAAAAACTCGCCCTACCAAACGAGGCTTATTTTAAACAGGGAGCTTATAAGCTAACCAAATAAGCTAAAAGCTAGCTTATTTGGCTTACCAAACATACCCTATAGCTTATAGCTTATGACTTATAGCTGAAAAGCTAGCTTATATGATAAAAAGTGTTTGGTAAATTAGCTGATAAGCTAGCTGAAATAAAAAAATTCAACTAGCTTATTTGAAAAGCTACCTAAAAAAGTATTTTAGCTTAGAAATAAGCTCGAGTTTTTTAAAAAAACTCGTCCTACCAAACGAGGCTTATTTTAAATAGGGAGCTTATAAGCTAACCAAATAAGCTAAAAAATAGCTTATTTGACTTACCAAACATACCATTTGAAAAAGAGAGGAGTCAAATCTGTAGATTTCTAAAAAGCAATGGATTCTACCCGATTTCAGGCACCATTTCTAGTAGTGGACTTGCTCCTTTCCCGTCGGCTGGAAAGCGAGAACATCAGAATTCCAATTCCACTCATCCTCTGAAATCGCATATCGCATAGATAAGAATATGAGTTCGTTTGAAATCAGGAGGTGGAATGAATACCCGATTTGGGTCGGAAGAAAGCTTCGGTAGGGGGACGAGCAGCCATTTCTTGATCTTCTCTGGTTTGGGAAAGGGAATACTAAGAGGAGTGAGTCGGGTTGGCAAGTGCGAAGGGATTCAATCCATTCTTCCAGTATTTCTCTCGGATTTGGTAATCTAA